ATTTAAACCGGATAGCAAATTTCTTCCACACACGTGGTTAGATTATCATAAATTTTTAAAATATTCACTTCACTACTCGAATACAATTTGCACAGGCCCCTGCCAACCGGTTCACATGATACGGCGATCGGTCATTTGCGCCCGATGGTGGAAGAAGCGTATTCAGCATAAATGTTCATTTTAATTGACACAGGAATAGAGCCATTCAGTTTGAGTTTGGAGGATTCCTGCAACCTCTCATAGAGGACAGTCGCTATGTGTAGCCGGTCAAATGAAATTTAGCACTCCATAATTCAATCTATTCGATTGATGAGGCATATTTTAAAGCTCTGGCTGGCAGAATTTCGGTCTCTTAAATAAAACAAAGTCAATCCGGCCCAGACTTATTAAATTATGCAAATTATTAGGTCTACACGTTGGGTAAAACTACAAAGTAATAATATTCTTCGAAGTTATCAGTGATCCTTGGATAAAAAACGTAGCCTAAGTCGCTTAAGGCGAAGTAACTACCGGTAGGGGAGTTTTTATCGCGGCGACAGGACAAAGTCTCAGGATGCCATTGACTTGAATTTAGCCTCGCTGTCCGAAAAACTTTCTCTTTTTGACGGTACTGTATGTAGTTTTTATACTTACTACTAGTCTTTTTTAACATACTCATATAAATTATGAGTAGTATCGTCAACTGTTATAGAAAAAAAATATATTTGCCTGGATTGCGGAACGGTAACATGTTTCCAAGTCGCGAAAAATCCGGTTTCGGACAACGTTGCGGTGGGAACGAGACGATGAAGCGGACTCAAAACTGTAGTCCAGTCTAGTCTGAGGCCTACAGATTTAATCGTGGGAAAAACTTCAAAATCGGTGCTCAACTCACATCAACCGATCGAGGCCGGAAGATTCTATTATCCGAGTCCGACTCATTGACAACCGAAATGGGCTTAATGGCGAAATCGTATATATTTATTTTATCCCTATTTCAGATTGAGACTAAAGAACGACGCTCTTCTGTTGACTGGGCTGATTTTAGAATATGTGAATACCGCCTGACTTTTAGCGAAAATATGGTGGGATCTCAATTGTCTTCTGTCATTTGTGGAACTTCTGTAGCATGAGATGAACAAGATGACCGTAGTCATTTTTCATCAGGATCAAATTAACTTAACAACAATCAAATCATACCAGTTCCTACCTTCAGTCGGCTTTCTGGATCAAAGTGCTTCTTCACAAATAATCGACCAATTGTGTTGGGAAAAACCTGCACCGTCTTGTAAACACACTTTGCCCAGCGCGACGGATCTCCCTTGCTTCCTGAGTGAAAAATGAAAAATCATTCATCAGATGCTGTATGATGCATACCTTTCGGAATTTAGCATATACAAAAAAAGAGGGGTTTATACATTTTTATATCAAAGCGCCTCATAAAGACTCAGTAAACAACTTTATTTCTCGCTTTGTAGATATAAGCACCTTGCGAGAAATCGGTTTGGACATGCTCACACAAATTGTGTAATGTCTTCAAGAAGACTTCGATAAAGGTACCCTGTAGTACTGTCATATCTGCTTCCAGCGACGCACCGTCGCATTGACGATGCCGAATATGAGTCCAAGTCCGAATGCTCGAGGCTACTCTGGCAGCGGGTGAAATAGCAGTCTCCTTGAAGACGATACCTCCTCTTGAAAAGCATCTTGACATACAGGCATACACACATACAAACAGTCGAAAAGAGACAAGTCTGAAAATGCAGTGCTTTGGAGTTCCTTTGTGAAAATCGGGGCTTGTTGTTCGGTAAGCATGATCCCGTTGCAGAGCTGAATAGTACAGAAATGGGTGGGAATAGTGCACAAAGTAGACTTGCCTTTCATTGCCTCTTCAAAGGTTTCGAACAGTTGCTGCGCCTCTTTCGGCATGAACGGGATGGACTCAAAGATCCAGTGCAAAATATTTGAGTCATGCAGCACCCTGAAAAGAAAATATCCTTCAAGTCGTTGTCATGTGTATTTGATAGGAAAGTGGACAAGCACTGAAATGTTCATTTGACACATTAACTCCTAGTTACAGTGACGATGATGTGGGTTTTTTTTTATATAAAAAGGCATCTCCATTAACAATACAATAGACTAACTTGAGCTTCTCCTCATCCTGAAGGTAACTCGCGATTAATTGGCACCGCTGCTTCAGATTCTGGAACCCGACTATAACCACCTCCTCCGAAGGGTCTATGGAAAAGCCGACCTCCTTGAAAAGCTCGCTGAGCAGCCATGCCCACTGAATCTGTTGAAAAAAAATGTAAAAATGTAACGATATGCATTAAGTATCTCATTAAGCTATCTACGCAAGGGTTCTTCCTGAATAGCCAGAATTTAAGAATCCCACAGCATCCGCTCCGTTTTGACATTTGTCTATTCATCGGTCAGACACACACGTGACAGCAGAATCAATTCACCTGAATGGTAGCATCGGCTTAACAACACGACTATCCGCGGAATCCACATGTCTTCTGCTGCAATTCCGGCAGACTTGCTGACCAGGCCGGAGCTAACAGGCTACCAGTCGGCTGTACCATCTCCTCAACCCTCCAATGGGCAAATGGAAGTGAGCTTTTCTACGTGCATAGAATAGACTAGAAATGGACAGTTTTACAAACATGACCTGTTGGTGATGAAGAAATTGAAAGGAAAATCACTGATAACTTTTGCATGAGTGTGTTTTAAGGTAGTCAGTTGTTCTGAAAATCAGAACTTGCTTATTTCAGGCCACTTAGAGTGAGTTGCTGTTTTCCTCACAGTTCTATGCATAGGAATCATGTTGCAATTGAGGTGGATGCAACTGTGTCTCTCAAAAGCTGTTCTCCTTCAGCGGGTGGAACACCTCGCCATCAGTTCTTAAATCACACTAAGCGAGCTGGAACGACCAATTGGCTAATCAAAAAGCCCTGACATTCTCATTTCGAAAACAAGTAAAGTAGTCGATCTTTAATATGAAATGTATTCACGCTGGTAGAATTTTCACACAATGATGTGAGTAGAGCTGACGTTTCCAGTGAATTTCGTTGAAATTCACATCTGCCCTGTGACCCAAGGGCAATGTGGCCAAGAGGTTAACGCGTCAAGCTCCCATTCTGTACTGTCACGGTTCGACTCCCGCTGGGAGTGTTGACAAGACTAATACAAAGTCGAAACTGCAGTCCATTG